GTCAAAAAATATTTGCTTATCCCCTCCAAAAACTTGATGACGTCAGCTCAAAAGTTTGTGGAATAAATCATATCTAAAATGTACAAAATATGATGAGTCTGTACTTGTGAACTATTACTCCATTAATATTTTTTGGATTTGCATATACAGGGTGACTCAAAAAAATTAATGAATGCGTAAATATGTTTTATTGATTTAATCAGGAACTACAAAACCGAATGCTCTGAAATCTTGCAGATGTTTTAAGGTCATAAAGAGCATAATAAATGTTTAGTCAAAATATATTTGCTTATCCCCTCCAAAAACTTGATGACGTCAGCTCGAAAGTTTGCCGAATAAATCATATCTAAAATGTACAAAATATGATGAGCCTGTACTTGTCATTTATCACTCCATTCATATTTTTTGGATTTGCATATACAGAGTGACTCAAAAAAATTAATGAATGCGTAAATTTATTTTATTGATTTAATCAGGAACTACAAAACCGAATGCTTTGAAATCTTGCAGATGTTTTAAGGTTATAAAGAGCATAATAAATTTTTAGTCAAAATATATTTGGTTATCTTCTACAAAAAATTGATGACGTCAGCTCAAAAGTTTTCCGAATAAATCGTATCTAAAATGTACAAAATATGATGAGTCTGTACTTGTGATTTATCATTCCATTCATATTTTTGGATTTGCATATGCAGGGTGACTGAAAAAAATTAATGAAGGCGTGAATTTATTTTATCGATTTAATCAGGAATTACAAAACCGAATGCTTTGAAATCTTGGGAATATTTTAAAGTTATTATAAGCATGGTAAACTTTTGTTCAAAATGTATTTGTTCATCCCTCCTAAAAAAATTGATGACGTCACTCTTAAATTTTGCTGAATAAATCCTATCTAAAATGCAAAAAATATGATGAGTTTGTACTTGTGATTTATCATTCCATTCATATTTTTTAGATTTTCTTAAGAGGTGGTTCAAAAAAATTAATGAAGTCAATTTATTTTATTGATTAAATTAAAGGCAACACTTATTATTAGTATTACACCCCAACCAACCCAATTTGGTAGACACAAAATTTGTTAAAGGAAAAACTCGGTTGAAACATAAGGGTAGCACGCTTATTTACATCGACTTTAACATTACAGACCTGCATTTGTTTTATGCGTTCACTTGATTCCGCGAATGTGAAATAGACATGTTTATAATCAACCAATTGTGAATTTCACCGTCAAGAATTAAAATAAAACCCAATGTTTTATATAATAAGCGGAAGTCGAAGCAATAAAACCGACGGTCGTTTTGTTTACAGTTTCTGTGTTTGGCTCTCACGTATGCTGTTACGCCTGTCATCTTAAATTAACAATGTTTATACATACACGATTTTCAGTTGCCTCTGATACGTAGGTATACGTGAGTAAATTGTTTCGTTATTTTATTGATTATTACAAATCAATATTCAAACGACCCAATTCATTTTCCCGAAAATTTGAGAATATAATAATTTTATTCTTAGTATTACACTACATCTATCCCAACTGATATACGTGTCCTTGCAAAAATGTTGATGACGTCATCGCAATTTTTTTTTAAATTCCCACTACAAAAATGTAATGAGAAAAAAAAAACACAATAGGCATGCAGTCGTCAAGTTTCCGACAGCGAGGGAAGTACTGTCTAAACTCTTTAGACCAATTTTTTTTTCTTGAATTTTCAGATCTATATCGTTATTTCCATCTAAGAATTTAATTTATCAATACAACTAAAATTTCCATAAATACATGCACTCAACTAGATTAGTCTTAACTGTAGTCGTCTTTACTTTTACTAAGATTTTCCAATTCTATGTCACTTTCACCGCTAGTACGTAAAAGAGTTTTGAGAAAAATACTCCTATCTTTTTTTTAACTTAAAGTGCAATCGAATCAAGTTACATTTGCAACAGCGTAACCAAACAACCTTTCTTATTTCCCATTTTATACAATTTATGTCATAGATTTATGTCAATTAACGCTTAAACAATGTCATACAAAATAGAGTTGCAAAGAGCCATATACCAGTTAGTTACCCAAGTATCTAAAAGTGAAATTGTGAATATATTTTGGACCAAATATATTACACGCGCAACTATATACAGAACAATTAAAGATTGCGAGGTAGCAATACCACAATAAGTTTAGAAAGATTAAGAAGAAAGACAAGAGCCTGGAACATCAACAAGAAGATTGGCTCGATTGTTTAGAGTTCTTATATAACAGTTTCTAGAGAAATACGCAAAAACAACTTAAAATACAGCAAAAGAGCTAAATGTTCAAAACATACAGCATCGCAGCTAGAGAGAATTCGTAGATGTTGCCGGCTATTGAGAATTCATCATTTTCTGGACAGTCGTGTGGTTGTGCTGGGTGATGAAAAATATTTTACGTTTGCCCATTCCGAGATGGAAGGTAACGATGGATTTTATACAAACAATATAGAAGAAATTACAAGTAAAATTTAAATCGAAGGCAAAGTTTGAAGATAAAATTTTGGTTTGATGGGCTATATCTCCGGCCGACGTTTCAGCACAATTCATTGGTCGTACTAAAGGTGACGCGGTCAATACATAACAATATATGGGAACACCATAATAACGACGATGTAATATTTTGGCCAAATTTAGCAAGTTGCCATTACACTAGAATGTCCAGGGATTGGTTAGAAAGCAATAATATAAGTTTTGTACCTAAGAAAAGGTAATCCCCTCATAGTCCCCCAGTGCGAACAATCGAAAACAAAATTTGGGGAATACTAAGTAGAAAGGTTTACAACAACGGCTGGGAAGCTAATTTAGAAGAACAATTTACCAGACAGTTAGAGAAATGGACGTGGACACCATCCAAACGCTGTAAGACCTACATATGAAGACAATTTTGCGTCGTATTGAATATAACGAATCTTTATCTGTTTTCCCATTAATAATAATTAATTAAGAAATTAGCACATCTCTGGGTTCTTCTTGAAATTCAAATAAAATTAAGTTTGAGCTTCCTATTATTAATTTAAACTTTCTCTCAAAACTTTTTTTTGTTTACGTTAGGTTTCTCGGAAATTAAAAATGTCTCTAATTTTCTTTAAAATATCTTTAAGATTTTGTTTCCTCTGAATTTTAAATTGTCTCTTCTGGACACCACTAACTTTGTATTTTTTGACTGATGATGAAAGTTTAATTATATCTCAAAGAACTCAAAACCAGTATGTACTTGATGAACCAAGTTAACAACAAAAATGACATGTAAAAACGCACAAAAAATGAGAGATTGGACGAAAAAATGCCGAACTTATGCATTCTTACATAGTAGCAACAATTATCTAACAGCGATAAACATGAACTCAAATTATCACAATTCACGTATCTGTAACAAATATTCCTATATTCGTAATTTATATATTTTTTAAATTTAAATATTAATAAATTAATTAATAATTAACAATAAAATAATAAAAAAATAAATTAATGTCAAATTTTGACTTGATTAGAGTATTTTTAACCCCTAGTCTGCAAGGTTGTTTTAAGGGTAGTTTTTAACGGTTTCTCCGAACAGGTTGAAATTTTGTATTAACAATCTTCGTATTGAGAAATAAGCAAATATCGAGTTTTAACTAGATTGGAGCATTTTTAACGCCCAGTCTGCAAGGTTGTTTTAGGGGTGATTTTTGAGGGTTTCTCCGAATGGGCTGAAATTTTGCATCAATAATCCCCGTATTGAAAAACTAGCGAATGTCAAATTTTGAATTGATTAGAGTATTTTTAAGCCCTAGTCTGCAAGGTTGTTTTAGGGGTAGTTTTTAACGGTTTCTCCGAACGGGTTGAAATTTTGTATTAACAATCTTCGTATTGAGAAATAAGCAAATATCGAGTTTTAACTTGATTGGAGCATTTTTAACCCCCAGTCTGCAAATCTGTTTTAGGGGTGGTTGTTAAGGGTTTCTCCGAACGGGTTGAAATGTTGTATTAACAATCTTCGTATTGAGAAATAAGCAAATATCGAGTTTTAACTTGATTGGAGCATTTTTAACCCCCAGTCTGCAAGGTTGTTTTGGGGGTGATTTTTGAGGGTTTCTCCGAATGGGCTGAAATTTTGCATCAATAATCCTCGTATTGAAAAACTAGCGAATGTCAAAATTTAACTTGATTAGGGTATTTTTAAGTGCCAGTCTGCAAGGTTGTTTTGGGGGTAGTTTTTAACGATTTCTCCGATCGGGTTGAAATTTTGTGTCAATAATCTTCGTATTGACAAATTAAGAAATATCGAGTTTTGACTTGATTGGAACATTTTTAACCCTCAGTCTGCAAGATAAACTGTGGTCTGCAAATTAGAAACGCCTTGAGTTTCTAATCAAGAGCCCTTCCGAAAACTAATGAAACCAATCTTATCGGGCACTAAAATTTTCAATACAGACCGTCTCGACAAACCGGCCATCTGGACTGCGGCAAGTTTACAAGGGTCTTTAGTTAAGCCCTCACAAAAATTAGTGGAAGTCAATAGACGCCTGAGGCAGACTCCGTCAAAAATTTGGTTCAGCTATACGTTGGAATGTCTATTAAAAACGATTAAAAAGGAACAAATGGGTTATTTAAGTTGAATGATATATGTATATATTCTAATAACAGATGTTATAGTTATTATAAACAAATCGATTTTTCATTTTGTAAAACAATGAGGTTTAGGGTATTTCTGGATTTTTCGGAAAATCAGTTTAGAGGAATTTAAAATTTAAGGTTGGCAACACTGCTTTCTACCTGAGAACCTTAGATAAGGAAAGAGTCTAAGCTGAGAACCATTGGCAGTAGCACTTCTAACCCAACAACTATTAACACAAAAGTTTATGTTGTATGTTCTGTTCTTCTGTGCCCGTTATTAGTTTTCTAACCGACGTCATAACATGTTGTGCATCAATTTTTTGTTATTTGTTGTATGTATCGCATACAGTGAACAGTGCTTCTGTGTACCTTTCAGTGTCTGCAGTTTGAAGGATATTTCTGACACTGAAGAATTTAATTCCCTTAAGCTAAATATGTGGGGATTTCCGTAAGTTGTTTTTAAATATTGATACAGCTGTTTTTTTTTTCAAAAATCGAAAAACGTCGCAATTTTTATCAAAAAATCACAACTTTTGGGAAGCAGAGAGAAGGCTGGGTTTTAATTATGTCAAAAAAGGCGTTTACTGTATTATTGAAGGGATTATTAAATATAATTTTTATGTAGGCACCGAGTACGAATTACAGTACAGACAGGGTCGCTAGAATGTATGGAAACGGTTAAATATCTTGAGAACCAATTGTACAAATCAAGTGAAATTAGATATAGGGGTACAAGAAGTTGTGCTCTAATTACTCGCGAAAACAAATTTGTTTTCGAGCTGCAAGGCCAACTTGATTTTTTTTAATAACACTACCATATTATTAATTAATGCATTTTTGAATAGAGCTTTTTTTTTTCGAATTCATTGATGTCGCGAAATAAATTAATAATGATTAATTTTAATTAATATTAAACAATAAATAAATTAACCAACAACAACTGAAACCAAAATTAAACTTCTGTTTTCTACAAAAGATGCTCAAACTGCTCTCCATTTACTTCCTGGCAGTAAAAAAGACGCTGAATCAAATTTTGTAGTGAGTTAATGGAAATTTCTTGACGAATGCTAGCAATTTCGTTACGTATGCATTCATGTAAGCCTTCAATGGGAATCGATCTATGATATAAACGCGATTTTTCAAATAACCCCACAAGAAAAAAAGTCAAGGGTGTCAAATCCGGTGATCTGGAAGGCCACTCAATAGTACCCTTCGGCGTATCCATTTACCAGGAAAAGTTTTATTAAAGTACCGTTGCACCTGACGTCCAAAATGGACTGGAGTACCGTCTTGTTGAAACCAAATAGTTTCTGCTGGTATAGCTGCTTTCAAAATAAGAGAGTAAAACTACCTGGAAAACTGACTTGACTTTTAGGCTATCATAATAGTGCCATAAGCTTAGTCCATTATACCTGGTACAAGCTGTCAATCATTCCGCTTAGGGTTGGAAAACCCTAAAAGTGAAATCAGTTTTCCAGGTAGTTTTACTCTCTTATTTTGAAAGCAGCTATAACTCCGGAATTTGGTAATTCCGAAAAAATTCTCTACGTCTAGGCACTATACATACGTTCCTGCAACAGTATTATTAAGTATTCCTCAGAATCTAAATTCCCATTAATAAAAAAAGGACCAATTACATGGTAACCAATAATACTGCACCAAACATTCAGTTTTTCCGGACGCTGTATGTAAAAATAGTATATTATTAGCCAAGGTTGCAGAGCCAAGTATTCTAGACCGAGCGCAAATTAGAACCCGAGACGCGCAGCGTCGAGGGCTCTGAAGCGCGAGGTCTAGAAGTGGCTTTGCAACCGTGGTTAATATACTATTTTTTTCACTAGTAGAAACCATAAGACAATAAACTGAAAAAATAAACGTTCAATTTTTTGACGCAACATGATTTTGTTTTGATTTCTAATCAAACTTAATCTAAATCTTCAACACAAAGAAAACCGTTTATACTTGTCGCTGAGTTAATCATTTTATCTTCTACCGTCTACCAACTACCATGCGTATACTCAAGTAATGTTTGTAGCACACATTTGTTCATTTTTTAAGAAATAATCACATCAAACATTGCGTACATAACCTCAATTTTTCTTTTTGAACCGGTGGTCGCAAAAGTTGAATTTGCTACCACTAAATGAGTCGACATTTGCATGCGTCATGGCTGCTAGTGAAAAAAAAAAATTATTGGCGAATAATTAGAGCACAACTTCTTGTACTCCTATACCTTATTTCAGTTGATTTGTACAATTGGTTTTCAAGATATTTAACCGTTTCCATACATACTAGCGACCCTGTATGTACATAATGCACAAATTAATTGAGGCTTGCGACTGGACGGGTTTCGTCCTATCTTAAATACATCACGATTTCAGGAGTTGAATTTTAAAAATATGAGATAACGCTTTAAAAACTATATTTTGAATTTAAAAAATTTGGATTCAGCAGGAAACCTCCACATTTATATTCATGTCTATCTAGTCTGCAGTTCTTAATGAAGAAAATTATAAACCTGACCAATTTTAGACCACTTTAATCAGATTATCACTAGATATTAATGTAGAATTAGGTCCTGAGATAACTAGTGCGTATAACTAAACACCGGTTACATCTGTTGATGTAGAAATAAGTTTTTCTTGATACAAAATGTTGACAAATAAAAGAATTTTACAGTGCAAAAATTTGGAAAAATATCTAATTGTTGCGTCTGAAGAAGGCCAGTTGTAGTAAATTTTGTAAAAAATACTCAAATTGTCCTAAACTTATTTCAACTGACGATAAAGAAATTATAAAAAAATACCAATTTATATATTCTATAGTGGACAAAACTTACGATGCTTGGGGGCAAAAGATTTAAGTTGACTACTACAAAAATTAACCATTTTAGATGTATTTTAAGTTTCTTGTTAAAATAAGTCTGAACATACTAATAAAAAGAACGGCAAAATGTAGCCCCGCCCACCCGCCCTATCTCAATTTTTTTTTATTCGTCGTGAGCCAAGAACGCGGAGCTTAGCTGCAAAATCCTTATTTCTATACGAGAAATTAAAAACATGTATTTGAGTATTGTGTTGCTCAAAGAATACTATGTATATTAATTAAGAAAGAAATAAAGCCAAAGGTTAGGCCCCACTCATACCCGCCCCGATCTCAATTCTCAATTGTGATGAATTTTTCATTCGTTGTCAGATCGAAGGGTGGAGCTTTATTGCAAGATCCATATTCGTCTACAAGAATTTACCATTATAAACATATTTTAAGTTTCTTGTTCTGAAAAGAGGACTACGTATTTTAAGGAAAAAGGCAAAATATAAGAAGCCCCGCCCACCCACCCTATCTCAATTGTGATGATTTTTTTTTAATCGTCGAGAGCCAAAGCAGTGGAATTTTAATGCAAAATTCTTATTATTTCTCTACAAGGAATTACTATGTAAGACATTTTTTTGAGTATTATGTTATGCAAAGAATACTGTGTATATTAATAAAAAATGAAAGCCAAAGATTAAGTCCCACCCATACCTGCCTTGATCTAAATAGCATCACAATTAAGATGGGGTAGGTGGGCGGAGTTTATATTTCGCCTTTTTTCTTTTCTTTGAACAACACGATAGTCAAAAACATGTTTTTAATTTCGTGTAAAGAAATAAGTTGCAGTTAAGCTCCACCCCCTTGGTTCACGACGAATAAAAAAAAATCATCACAATTGAGACAGGGCGGGTGGGCGGGCTTAGATTTTGCATGTTTAAAATGGAAAATTTTTATAAGAAAATATCGATTTTAGATATTAATGTAGAATTAGGTCCTGAGATTACTAGTGCGTGAAACTAAAGAGCGGTCACATCTGTTGATGTTGAAAGAAATTTTTCTTCATACAAAATGTTGGCAGATAGAAGTGTAGTTGTTTTTATTTTATTGTTCTTTTATTATTAATTTTATAATTTCATAAAAAAAACATATAATAAAAAAAAAGCTAATTTCCTCCCTACAGCCAGTGGTCATATATTAAACTCGATGTATAATAAAAGTGAAGAATTTTTGTTTGGAGGTAACTTTCCATGTTTGGCCAAACAAAGATCCCACTTACGTAAAAAATGTTTTGAATTCATTCAACTAATTAATTACGGTTACTATGATACCAAGAGCTGCACAAACCTGACCAAAATTCCAATTTTCTTCTTACACAAGCGGAATATAATTATAAAATACGTTTAATAATAATTACATTAAGGAATAATAATCCCAAAGTATTGATTTTATTCGAACGCCAGAAACCATATTTTAAAACGAAACCACAAAACGGCTATTTTAGAAGCTGCACTGTGATTGCCAAAAATAGATTTCGGTCAATATCGGGGAGCGAAGGTTGATTACGCGGTGTAACAATTTTCCACCAGAGGGTACTGATTTCCATTCAACCATTTTACTGATATCAGCATTGTCAGTTACAATACAGAAAAATAATTCCAAATTTTACAATATATGTTATTATAAACTTCATAAGCAAGTGCTCTTTCCAAAATTTTGTCAAGTAAATTTAATTTAAAACTTGTTCGTACTGATCCACCGCTATTATTAGCTTTGAGCAAAGAATAGAAAATGGTCTAAAAAATTTACGTCACGTGGTGATATTTAACTTACATCAAAATTTATTATTAATTATTATTTTTAAAATTTGTTAGTGTCATAACCTCACTTTCTTGAGTATTTGAATCAGGTCAGGCAATAGTGTAGCAAGAATCTCTTCTCAGAACTGATTTTCAATTGCCAACTTAAGCATTATTTCTAAATAGATCATGCTGTAGTTCACAGTTTTTATCATAGTTTGCCGTAGGTGCGAAAGCGACGCAGACGTATGCTGCGACGTCAGATGTGGGGAACGACGTCTCGATACTCAACCGTTTAACGACAATACGAGCTATCGGATTTTCAACTCACACACCAAGGCAAATTTCGCCGAGTTTCCTTGGATGTTGGCAATTTTTTACCGAAATGGCTACCGTTGTGGAGGTTCTTTAATCCATCCTCAAGTGGCTTTGACTGCTGCCCATTGTGTCGATAAACTGGGCCCATACAAGGTACGAGCCGGAGATTGGGACCGTTACTCCCGAAATGAGCCCCTGGAACACGAAGATCGTGCAGCGGCAAAGGTATCTACCTATATTTACATTTACATTGTCTAATTAACATGTGGTACATGCTAAATACTTGTTTATTAAAACTAAAGAATCGTCTCTTTGGCAGATAATCATCCATGGCGCGTACGACGCTCATTCGCTAAAAAACGACATCGCTCTGATCATCGTCGACAAGCCTTTTCCCCTCCAAGAAAATATTGGAGTAGTTTGCTTGCCCCCTGAAAATTCGAACCCTATTCCAAAAGAATGTTTAGTAACAGGATGGGGTAAAACTTCCCACCAGAGTCGGTATTCGAATATTCTAAATAAGGCGACGTTTCCAATGGTGTCTCATAGTTTTTGCGAGATGGCACTGCAAATGGCATCATTAGGGCCATGGTTTAAACTGGACTCAACTTTCATATGTGCGGGTGGTGAGAAGAAGGACTCATGCAAGGGAGATGGAGGAAGTCCCCTAATGTGTGGGATAGCAGACACTAAAAATGTATATGAACAATTTGGCATTGTCTCTTGGGGGTTGATATGCGGAACGACGGATGCTCCGGGAGTGTATGTTAGTGTAGCCAAATTTGTGAACTGGATTGACAGGCAAATGGTATTGAATGGCTTCAATAACAGTGTCTACAAGTATGACAGAAAATGATAGTTACATATGAGTGAACCAGCTATTAATTATGTAGTAATAATGGTGGTACGCAGGAGAGAAGAGACTCAAGAGACGTTTTTCCGTGAGCGAATTCGAGAATTAGATTGGAGAACCAGGCGTCCGTATTTCAGGCGCTAGATCTGAGTCTTACATGTAAGTACGCGTAGTATATTTTGTCAAACAGTTTTTGAACTTTCTAGTTTAGTCGTTAATGTATTTGTTTTCTGATTTACTCAACAACAATTTAACCAAATTTAGATTAGTATAGTAGTTAGGTGGTCACGTTACGTCCCTAAGAAAAGCAAGCCATTTTTGTTTCAGCTTTTAAAAAGAAACTTTAACTTCTCTGCGGGCTACGAGGAGGAGGAGGAGCCACTGAAGGCTCTCCGTGAGGACGGTACGTTTTTAGTGTTTTTTTTTTGTTCTATATGGCTTTATTCGTTTGTTTAATGTCTTTAGTGGTTGAACAAATGTACAATTGTACCTACCAAATACCAGAATTCGATGAAGTTGAGATCGTTTTTTTTCTTCGGGGTCCCGTTCTCCGACGAATGCGACGTTTTCCCCAGATCGAATTGACGAAATAGATTGTTAGATCAAGCGTCCACTCGTAAGTACTATGAGTAAGCATGATTTGTCAAATAATCGAGTTTAGAAGTTATTTTATTTTTGTATTTAATTCAGATGCACCCCCGGCCTCTTCTCCAGTAATTTCCGGTTCTGCTTCACCGTCGTTCGGTAAGGTGGTCGGCTCCAGTCTAAAAAAAATTGAAAAGAGATTTTGTTTTGTTTCTTAAATAAATAGTTACTACAATTTGTATTACACTTTTATTTCTCTTTGACAGCCACGATGACAAACTTTTGTAACAATTTACGATTATTTCAATTATCATTTGTTCAAATAAAAAAACAAATACTACGTGTGGGACATTTTTATCTTCTCACTAATAAGGCATAAATTCGGTTAACCCTTCCAGATGTTCGTTGAAATGATATATGTATGTTATATGTAAACAAAACCACCTTCGCACAGACACTACATATAAACATATACATATATGCATACACCTACAACACGTACGTACGCTTATTTTGTGACTGCTCTCCGTACAACGTACTGACTAATACGTCAGTTTACTACCTTATCGATATTGCGTATTTATACACAATTTTTACCCCCTTTCGTAAGGTGTGAGATGTTAAATATAATGTTCATTCTTTTCTACACGAGAAAGTGATTCACGGCATAGATTGTCCAACTATAATATACTTAAACAATGATTTGGGTGTAGACCCATTTCTTTGGAAATGGAAGAGCTAAATTGCATGTGGAAGAAGAGGTAATAATTACACGTTTTTAACATTTTAATACATATATTGAAAAATAAAACTACAAGCGTAGTAAAATGATAAATAAGTAAATATGTAAATGGAGAATGGCAAAATAAAAACATGAGATTAAACTTAGATACCTAAAAACATGAAAAACTATAATAAAAGCGCCACGCAATTGTATTCCGTTATTAAAACCTTAAAATCTATGAACATAACCCATGAAACTAATTAAAATTAATCCTAAAAATTCTCTAATATCATCATGCAATTAAAACTTGAAACTAACCTAGTGAATCCCTAATTAACTGCGATACCTTCTAAACCATAATAATAATAAGTGCGTGATAAATAAACTTCGAAAACTGCTAAATACGAATTCGAGTAATGCACTTAAGTATTTAATAAACTGCGACCCGCTAATTAAGTACTTTTAAAACAGCTAAGAACAATTAAAATAATTCAGTGGAATTCAAAGAAATTTTCCACTGAGAATAAAGAAAACAACTAAAAAATCTATGCTAACTTGTGAAATTAAACATGCAAAGAGAGACAAGCAAATTTTACTTTATTTAATTAGCTAAATACGCCGAGCGCGAACACTTGTTCACGAGAAAATCAGCGGTTACAGGACAGTCAAATAAACGCAAAAATGACACAGTCTTTGCGTACAGTTAAACGTTGAGAAATTAGTACCATAAATGCGTTAAAATACAGTGAGATTATTAAATTAAAATGAAATGCGAGGTTTCCCAAAACTATAGTATAATAATCAGAAAATGAAAATGATCTGCTCTATATCTGTCTGGTATTCGTTGTTGATAGCCTCTCCTCGAAATTTCGTGGATGGTCTCGCAGTGTCATAAATAGACAGCGGATTTCTGTCGGGCTACGTCACGATTATAGGTGGGGACGCGCTGGATCGCCAGGACTCAGTAGCGGGTGATAGATAATCACTGAATTTAATCGGTACTAATTCCATAAATATAATTAACGATTTATTAATCAAACGGCTAAGTAAATGAGAACGGGAATTAACAGCAGAGTGCAACGAAACAGCGTTATTCTAATCTTAAATAAACGAAGTGCAGTCCGTAACCGCAATGAATTCGCATCCCGTATGAGCCGTACCGAGTTTGGCCTTGCCTAGCCCGACAGAAATCCGCTCTCTAGTCATAACCGGCTGATGTTTCCTTGTTCGCCATATAGACGAGGTTCTCCTTGCAGTTGGATCGCCACGTTATGTTGAAGGGAGTTCGTGCCAACAAGGTGAAGCCTTTTGGAGAAGTTGAGGGTACTTCCAGAGAAGTAAGTTGATGTTGTGGGTGTGGATGGCGTGTACAGGTTGAATCATGCAACACAAAAAAAGTAAATTAATGATAATCAGGCCGAATACAATGATTAGAATATCATTGTATTACTCTAGCTCATTGAGAATTTGTGCTCATGAGTACCTTGGTTGATATACGAGCGTTTGCGACTGTTCAACATACGCTCGCATAGGGTCATGTTGCTTTAGACTTATCATTTGACGTTCTCCGCAGTTCATAGGGAGGAGAACAGATGTCATCGTCGTCGAGATATTGTTTACGGTGTTTGTGTCGTGACTAACCCACCATATGTCTATTGGGTTAGAATTGTTCCTTGGTTGTTGCCATGTTAAGTTATATAGCTTGGAATTGTCTTTAACTGGCCAAATCATGGGGACCCATTGCTGATTTACAGTAGACATCGTGTTGTCGAATTTCTAGAGATTTATGCTGAATCTCCTTCTTGTGTCGAACTACCTACGGTCAAACTCTTTATCTTGCTCTCTTACAATCTAAAGTTATTTAAATGGAGTGTATGTATGAGATTATTTTCTTAGTACTGGGCATGCATTATTTATTAAGACCCACCACTAACCAAGAAATGACCGGCATTCAGGCAAGACTTCTATCATTACGGGTACTAAGACCAAGTAATGATATGCATTGATTAGATTAACAGAACAACTTTCGAGATTCTAGAATTACAGCATACAAATTAGTCTGCTATTATTCTCTAATCTCACCCTATCCCCAAAAGTCTAGCGTAACTACCGACCATTTATCCGTGCATCACTTGGAAAGTGACCTACACTACTCTGAGCTAGTGGTGCTAATCTAATCTGACTGACATGATCAGACTGTTCAAGAAACTTACGAACAATATGACATGTTCCTAACAAAACAGCTTTTTGAGTTTTGACAATTATTGAATCATTCAAATGCAAAGACTTTAAATTCTCAACAAAGCTATTTGGAACTATACCTACATTAGAGATAACTAGGGGCAGAATTGAAATTTTTTTAAGATTTAACATGGATTTCATTTCTATCGATAATTGTAGATATTTTGAAATCTTGGTGTGGTATGTTTGAATAATGTTGTTTGTGTTAGGAATAGCAATGTCAATGAGAATGGCTTCGTTTGTGTGTTTTTTGATAAGTATGATGTCTGGTCTGTTAGCTGTAATGTTTAAGTCTGTAAGTATTGTGCGATCCCAGTATACTTAATTTGTATTTGTTATTTTCAAGGAACGGAGATGGAATGTAAGTGTAATAGGGTGTCGTATCTTCGATTAAGTTCATAAGTGTTGCTAATTCTTTGTGGATGATTTTAGCGGCGTTGTCGTGTCTAGCTTTGTAGTCAGTTTGTGCTAGGATACTGCAGGAAGAGATTATGTGCTGGATCGTTTCAGGTTTTACTTTGCAGAGGCGACAGCAGTCGTTTCTTATATTCGTATCTTTGATGATGTATTTTCTGTAATTTTTGGTATTGATTACTTGGTCTTGAATAGCAAACACAAATCCTTCTGTTTCGGCATACAAACTTGATTTTTTTAACCAAATCAATGACATCTTCTTATTGACATGAGTTTCTTCTAAGTCTTTGTAGAATTTTCCATGTAGTGTTTTTGTTTTAGCCCACTTATTATTTTGTCTATTGTGTGGGGGGTGGGGATTTCTTCGGTGTTCGACAGACTTAAGGGTGTGTGGTTTAAATCTGCTCTTGTGATGGTGCGAAACATTTCATTTCTTTCCGCTCGTTTCAAGAAATACTTCTTCAAATCTGATATTTGTCTCTGATATAAGTTTTCTAAGTTCTGGAAACCCCTTTCTCCATTCTGTCTTGGTAATGAGAATCTTTCAATCGACGATTTTGGATGATGCCTTCTATACTGTGTGAAGATTTTCCTTGTTGCGATGTTTAAATTTTCAAGATCAGTTTTTGACCATTTAATGACTCCAAAAGAATATGTTAGCAGTGGAACGCAGAATGTATTTACTGCTTTCATTAAATTTTTTCCATTTAACTGTGTCTTCAATATTAATTTTAACCTCGCTAGGTATTGATCTTTCAACTGTGTTTTCGTTTTGGTATGATTGATGTGGGAGGATTGATAGAAACCCAGATATTTGCATGTATCGTTTCTTTCTTGGGCTTCGATGATTTCCTTATTCTGGGTTATATGTGGTACTTGGTGTTGGACGCCTTTTCTGATTGCTTGGGTCTTACATTTCTCAATACCAAAAGACATACCAATATCACCGGAAAATTGTTCAGTCAGATTTAATAGGTTTGTTAACTGACTTTGAGTACTTGCATATATTTTTATGTCATCCATATACAGCAAGTGACTTATTCTGTTTTCTCTTTGTTTGTTAATTCTTATATTAAACCCATAATTGCAGCTGTTCAGGATATCGGAGAGGGGATTTATTGCTAAGCAGAACCATAATGGGCTAAGAGAATCGCCTTGAAAATACAGAAACTTGGAATTGACGTACATGGTTAGTTCGACATTTTCTGATCTGATGTTTCGTCCTATGTCTTTCATTGGTGATATTATAATTCATTCAGCTACAAATAATCTCGGATGTTCTGTTACCCACACGGTCGCTCCGCAAGCGGCGTCCTGTTTCTCCAAGGATAAGGCAAATACTTTGTCCCCTTGTTCCATGACTATGTATTTGGTTGGTGCTGATGAGTTTCTTTGATAGACAAGGTGGACTTCTCCATTGAATAGTATGGCTACGGTGCTGCACTTTGTTGGTTCTATAGGATTCTATACTGACTCTCCGATAAATTGTGTCGATCCCGGTTATTCCTCCTCTGAGTGTGATTTCATTCTGTTCTAGTTTTAACGTGGCTAGATAATCTTGCAATCTTGCACTGTTATCTTTATGGTGGCTACGACTACTACGTTGTCCCATGAGATTCCGTTTTCCGAATAGGTTGTTCCTCGGCAAGTTCCGTCAGTTGATATTCCTCCCGCTAGTGTTACGTAGATGCTGATAGTGCTGTTTGGTCGGATACGTGAAATGATTTGTCCGTAGAATCCTCTATATTCCTGATACTGGTGAATCAATTTGCAACCGTCTCTACTCGCGGTGTGGACATAGGTTTAAAGGCCTCGGCTTATTATACTGCTGAGATTATGCATGCCACAGTATGTTATGAAACGTGACGAGACATGTATGCACATGTAATGATTTAAAATTGTCTGGGTAATGTAACATATCTATATTCTGGGTCTGGGCATTCGGCTACGTCATTTAGCGATATTCGTGATGTTTGTTGACGGGTTCTGACAATTGTAAGCGGTTAGGGATGCGGCTTGTCTGATTAGGCCAATCCATGTTAAGATGGTGATATACTCATCTGTAATCAATATGTGGTCTTAGTACTTGACTCCTGGTTCATCTATGCTATGTTATAGTGGCCGTCAAATTTTACCGAATGCTGCCTGGGGCGCGGTCGTGTTGCCACTTATTGAAGTGATTAGGATGGTTGTAATTTTTATCACTCTCCACTGTTTGGGTACAGCATAATTCTTATTTGAGTAGTAACTGAATGGTACGCGGCATTCAGACCAAATTTATGGCATCTATAAGCTGTGGTTAGGGGTTTATTGAGCGCTTGAGGCGCTCAGCTTATTGTGACGGCCACTTTACTAACTTTATCTACATATAATAAATAACGGTTCACATTTTCTATGTGTTTATCTATCTTAAACGGTATATGTATAATAAGTGTATTCCGGTTATATTCGTTTACGTAGTACCCAAGGGTGCTCTGGGGCTTGCTTCTTGTATGGTAAGGGTGCGGTTGTCCGTTTCCTTCTTCTTCATCGTCGTTTCGTCGTCTGATGGTTCTTCTATTTCGGCTTCTTCCTCTGCTTGATCTGCTTCTTCTTCTTCTTCTTCTTCTTCGCTGCTAGTTTCTTCTTCGAAAGTAAATAATTGTTGTAATCCGTCTATATCTTCTAGAATTCTCTTCGCTATCTTTCGCTCTCCTTCATCTTCGTCACTGCTTATTTCGCTCTCTCTCGTTGGTTTTCTCGTTGGGAATACGAGTTCTTCTTCTGATTTCAATGGTTCTCGACGGTTTCATTCAACTTTCATGCACTAATAATTCCTTTGTTTTTCCGATTTCTTTGATTAAGGGGATACTTCCCAAATTCTTCTCATTGTAAAATCTCCGTATTGCATATTCATTTGTCTACACGCCTTGCGTTAGGGATGTTTTATACGAAGTAGAGCTGAATAGGGAACCAACAAAATACTCAAGCTAGAGTCGCATAAAATAGTCAAATACTTGGTCTATTTCTATTGTATCGGACTGGTGGTTTTGTAGTCGTTTGTAGTAAGTAAATATGCAGCACAGCTCCTAAAAATTGGTCGTACCTAATTTATTTCGGCAGAACTTCCTTCGCTGAAACAAATCCCAGTTCTTTGAACAAGTGTAAAATTTGAAAAGTGCGAACGATAGAAAATATATTTAACTAGAAAATTAACTCTTATTAATTACATGGTTAACTTCGAGTATTGTGTTTATACTTCGAAAGAATTCGATTTGGATTGTGACATTACTGTAATTTTCGAGTATTTTTGTATTTTTGTGTCGCATGGATATGATATCCTTTCTTTTAGAGGATTATTATTATTTTCATTGATGAAAAATAATTTTAGGATTTTGGAATTGCTTAATATAAATAATGTATTCTTAGGTTTTACATATTTATTTAAAATAGAAAGAGTCAATAAAGTTACATTAATAACACAATATTTTATGCTCAACTGCGTTTTAACAATTATAATACAACAGCTTCTTTAAAATAACTATAATATAAATAACATAATACAACAACAAACAACACCATAAGGCAGTCGTACATAACTGCATAATTTTATAGAAATATATATGTATTGTATATATGAAACATAAGACATATTTAATTATTCTATAAATATGTACATATTTTTGCACTACTTAGTGCCAACTATTGAGGTAATTTAGTAATACCTATAGGGCAAAAAATGTTGAAAATAAAAATTGTTAAGTTTAGAGCTCATATTACTTTCAAAGAATTCGTCGTCTCGTTGAATCTTTTCGAAAAGAAATCCTTTCGGCGTCCATACAACAAACTAGCAAAAATCGCGCTTAGTTATGTGTAGCTGTCCCTGTACCTGATAAAAATAATTATGGTTTTGTTTTAAGTGCATATTTTCATTTTGGAAAATAGCGTATGTATTTTTTTTTTTGTTAAAATAGCTTCCTGAGGCGTTAGTGTTCTACAGCTGTAAGGGCATTTAATTTCAACAAGGCCGTTAGAACCAATAAGACCGTCTGGACTCGCTCCAAGGTAATTTGCTTGTTCATCGATATAAAATCCAGACGGTTTTACAGATTGCTTCAAGTACTCAGAAAACTCTGTGAATGCTATGGGTTCGTGTTCAATTCCGTAAGAAGTGCTTTCTGAGGAAAAACTTTGAAGGAAGTTTTTTATTGTTTTATGTGGATTTGTTGTAGGCTTCAGTTTACAAATTTTGCCGAACATAGAAGCGGTAATCCTTTTTCGTCTTTCTCTAAATCATAATGCGGATTGTCTTTGTTTTTTTGTATTTTCTGCAATTTCTAATATTTTTTCCTTAGTTTTCTTCAATGATCTAAGAAACACGTTTGTTCTTCTTGTCAGTTCTTCAGCATCTAAAATTTCTTCCACGTCCCCATAGTCTTCGTCTGCCTCAGCAACAACTTGCTTCTTATTGGATTTCTTTGTTTTTTCAAATAGCTGTCTCTTGCAGTTTAATTTCTTTTTTCTTTCAATAAACTTTTCAGTGATTGCTTTGTGCAAAACCGATTGAAATGCAACCCCTGTATTGTAGCAAATACTAGCCGCTTGACACCTCATTTTATACCCTCCTCTCTTTGAAAAATCTACTCTCTTTCCTCTAATAAACTTAGCAACGACGCAAACTTTTACTACTGTATATAAGTCTGTTAGCAAAAGACATGATATCATTGTACAACCCACGTTGTTTTAAAGTCGGAACTTGATTAAATTCATTTGGTTTATCACCTTTGCAAAAGTAATTATCACATTTCTTATGTTCACCAAAAACATGAGAAACACTGTTTTCTATGTCTGTTTTCAAATTATTCACTTGGTCTTGAAATGAAACATCTTGAGATCTTCTATATTTGACCGCGCAATTCACTGCTGTTCTAAGTCGTTGTATGGACTTTTTCAGAAATTGTCGAAGAAAAGGTGCGATGGGAAGTCCTTTGGAACTAAATTTTTTTATTACTAGATTTTTTAAGTTAGTGCAATAGTTGCTTAACAAGTGATTCCACCACATACGGACTCTCTGCTTGAAGTCTCTTCAGAACACTACTGTCGCCATCACCAACAAAATACGCATATTTTAGTCCGTGAATAGATATGCTTTGCTTAAATTCCTCTAAAATAATGTCGCTTTCCATCCCAGTAGATGTTCCGTCCCAGTTTTTAAAACATACATACATGCTCCATTCCTTTTTCTTTGGCCATCTCTGCTTCTTTTTTCCCAGCTTCAATCATGAATTTCCAAAACTCTTCTTCAATAATTTCTTGCAAATTATCTTCTACATCTTTATATCTTTTATAAGATATTTTTGGGATGTTCATGGCACTGACAAATTCATTTAATTGTGAAAATCCGTAACCGATGCTTTTTGCACCCAATACCGCAGCTCCATTTGTATTTAATTTTCCATCAGTTTTATCTGAATAAACTTTATCCTCAACTTTACATAAGTCGCATATCAATACAAATTCAGAAATAAACCCTCTTCTTACTTCCTTTAAAATGCGAACAGTGTTTCCAGAAGAGCCCGAAGAACAAGAAAATAATCCATGGTGAGGAAATGACAAAATCTGCTCGATAAATGTTTGTACTTTAACGATTCTTCGCCCGCCCATCGAATCGCTGATTACCTTTTCCTTTTCGCAAGGCGTACTTTCTTAGAGCAGTATAAAGAGTGCTGACTATTGTTTGAATATTTCCAATCTTCTTGTTCTATAATGCTTGCAGAAGTGCTGGGTTGATCAGTTGTACTAAAAGATGCGGCTGTGTGTTCTTCAATTATTAGGCTACTATTTGAAGCAGCATTTTGTTCACCATTTGTTAGTGTGTCGGGATTTGTGGACCATAACGTACGCATTGCTATTCTGAAAATAAACCAATATTAATATTGTAGAGTTATACTTTTAACCGTACAGTTCAGTGGATAACAATGTGACACAAGTAATTGTTTTTTGACTCAATACTTTTATTTCACCTAACTTGTATGCACTTAAAGTACGAATAAAAAACTTCTCTTACCTTCGCTTTGCCAACAGTCTTTTATTTTTTCGAAGACGGGTAAGTCTCAATTGTTTATTCTTACATCCTTCCATTTTGTTGAGGTAGAGATAAACGGGATGAACGTGATAAATAAAAAAACTACTATACATCACGATTTACTACCACTGTTCGCAAGTTTTTTGATTTAGAAAATAAACACTTGTGTTATAATATTTTATCTTGTGAAACGATCCCTAAGATAAATAACAAAAAAATTACTTAGTCCCAAATTTATACGAGTTTGTTTTTCCTCCACCAAGATTCATCCCCAACCACTTTCTAATTTGCCTATCAAAAATTAGCATTCTGTTGTCACGTAGCCTTCAAATCCAATCGGCATCAATATATCCACCTGCGAGAGAATTTCCAGGAAAAGACTGTTTTCACGCATCTGTTTTTAAATTTCTCATATTCGGGCACCCAAAATTTCTCACGAATCTTAGACTCGTCATGCATCACCATGTAATGATCAATAACAACTTTATAGAAATGGGTTCGGTTTTTTTTTACGACCCAGCGATTCACACCATATCCCATTTCCACAAGAAACCTAGTAAGTATTTGACTTATCGTGATTTACGATTTGGTGCAGCGCAGCGTGTGGCAAAGACAAGAACAGTTGAAACAAAACATTCGAGAGTTGATTTATGGTGTAATGTAAGGGTATTTTCTAGCTGGAATTTTGGGCACAACTATTAAAAACAACTTTCAGTACTTATCTAGAATGGTTCATATAGGAATGATAGAGCCCGCTGGATCATTTATGAAAAAACTCACACAGTCGCCACAAAAAAATAGTACAAAGCTATGATTTTGTTAGGGATTTAGGATTTTTTTACACAGAACTGGTTGCTTAGTTTTGGCGCAAAATGTGTTCGAAAACAGCTGAAATTGTACCAAATTTCTACCGGAAAGTATCCCCTTAAGTAATTAACTGGTACTGTTTGCGCAATGTCGCGGTACGGACCGCTCCATTTCGGATATAATTTTGATGCTAATGTCTTCCCTTTTACTGCTGGTGTGAAAAGATACACCTTGTCTCCTTGTTGGTAATGTTGGTATTTGGTTTTCTTGTTGCGTTTGTCACACCTCAATTGATTGTTTCTCTCCAGGTTGCATCCGGCTGTTTGTAAGGCATGTTGCATCCTTGCCATTAGTAATGTTTATCGAAATTGTATCTGACTCTGGTTGGGTTGAGTAAGATGTGGACCGAGAGTTCCATATCTCGTCCATGCATTAGGAAAAATGGTGTTTCTTTTGTACTTTCATGAACTCTGTTCCGATAAGCCATTACGACGAAGGGAATCATTTCGTCTCATTCTATGGTGCATGCGCTCGATGACTCCATTCGTTGAAGGTCTATATGGACTTGCTTAGATTTTCTCGATTCCTAAAATTCGACACATTTCTTGAAAGAGTTCCGATAAGAACTGGGTTCCACAGTCTGTAGGTAACATTCGTGGTGTTCCATGTCGTAAGACTATGTTAGTTACAAAAGCTTTGGCAATAGTTTTGGCATGCATATCGGGTAATGGAATGCACTCGGGATATCTGGTAAGATAATCCATGCATGTTAAGATATATCGGTTTCCTGTGCTCCTTAGGTGGAGTGGTCCGTCTATAACTAGGGATACTAAGCCCCAAATTCCACATGGTACTGGCATTTTCTGCATGTCTGCTGATGATTTTGGTTGGTGTTTCACAAATTACAGGAGTGACATCGTTGACACTATTTCTTTACATCGGTAGTCATTCCTTTCCAGAAGTTTTGCTGGATGAGTTGAGTCGTCTTTTTGGCTACCCCATGAGCTGTCCATGGAGTATCGTGTGTAAATGGATCATTCTGTATCTCAATGGTCTTGGGATCACTATGGGATCTTGTCTTTGCAGTTCTTCTCTAGGTCTATGGCATACTCCATCTTAATCGAGGTAGTATTTTCCGGTTTTAAGTCCTCTTTGCACATCGTGGTCGTTCTTCTGATAGTTCTTTATTTCATCCATGTTGTTGATGACAGGTTCGCAGTAAGGTAACTTGGTTGTAATTGTTTTCACTTCTGTTGCTCCTTCCCTGAGTACACCTGAAAAATCTAGTTCGTGAAAGAATCCACATGGTTTCGCTTTCCCCGTTGATATATTCAATTTCAAAGTCAAATTCCATGCACACTGCACATTTGGCTAGTCGTGAATTCGGGTCTTCGACTGAGAATAAATATTTTAAAGGTCTGTGATCTGTATAGATGGTGAATGGTTTCCCTAATAGATACGCTTTGAAGTGTTTTACCGCCCAAATTATCGCTAAGAGTTCTCTTTCGATCGTGCTGTAGCGTGTTCCAGCATATCTAAGTATCCTGCTAGCATACCTGATGGGATGTTCGATGGTGTATTTCTGAGCTAGTATAGCGCTAACTGCGATTCCTGATGCGTCTGTTACCAATATCTTGTAGTCTTGTGAAGTCTGGATATTTCAGAATTGGTGTATTCATTAATGCTGTTCTAAGTTGATCGAATGCAAGTTCTTGTTCCTCTTTCCATTGGAACTTGGCATCCTTCTTTGTTAGTGTGTCAGAGGTTTTGCTAGAGCTGCAAATTTTGGTACGAATTTTCTGTAGAATCCGTAGGAATGCTTTGATATCTTTAGCTGATTTAGGTCTGGGATAATGTTCTACAGCTTTTATTTTTGCTGGATCTGTTCTGCATCCTTCTGCTGAAATGATGTGCCTAGGTATTTGGCTTCTTTCAGTAGAAAATTACATTTAGTTGACTTAAATTTCAGATTAGACTCTCTTATTCTGATGAAGACGTTTCTCAATCGTTCTAAATGTTCTTGAATGTTGTTGCTGCTGAAGATTATGGCGTCATCGAGATATACTAGGCATTCAGTTCCTACTAGGCCGTTGAATACGTTGTACTTCAATCTTTGCCAGGTACGAAGTGCATTTCTTAAACCCATTAAATTCGTAATGACCATATGGAGTGCTAAAACCGGTTATCTCTCTATCTTCTGGTTATATTTCAATGGAAAATAGACTTACTCCTTGTAATTGATCTAGTGTGTCTTGTAGTATTGGTAGTGGAAAGAAATCTGGTTTCGTGATCTTATTCAGTTCCCGATAGTCAGTACATAATCGAAATTCTGGATCTTCTCCTGGATGTCTCTTCTTTTCGATCAATATAGCTGGTGCTGACCATGGAGACTGACTTTCTTGTATGATTCGTTGTCAATGAGGGTTTGTATTCTATTGTTAAGTATCTCCTTTCGATGGTATGGGAGTTTGTATGGTCTTCTGGAAATCGGTGGAACGAATATGATTCTTCAGCTCGAATCCTTCCTCTAATCCTAATAAAACCACATTTTCGTATGGGGTTGCCGTGACGATATCTTTTAAATCGAATGCGATTCCAGCTTCGTATGGGGTTGCCATGCCGATATTACTTAAATCGAATGTGTTAGTATCTTCGTACGGGGTTGCCGTAACGATATTTTTTAAATCGGAAGCGATTTCAGCTTCGTATGGGGTTACCATGATGGTATTGCTTATATCGAATATGATTCCAGCTTCGTATGGGGTTGCCATGACGGTATTGCTTATATCGAATATGATTCCAGCTTCGTATGGGGTTGCCACGCTGATATTGCTTAATTTGAATGAACCTTCCCAATTGAACTCTCCTAAATCTAACGGATTCACATTTGTGTATGGGGTTGCCATGGCGGTATCTCTTAATACTAATGTAGCGTCATCTTCGTATAGGGTTGCCATTACGGTATCTTCTATCTTTAACTTTAAATCTCCTCTTAATTCCCTCATTATTTGTAGTCTTTCATAGTCATTAATTCTTCTCCATTTATACGCGCTTTGCTGGGGTACGCTCTGTACGCAATTTCATCTGGTACTATGATGAAGTCATGTTCTACCTTGGTGATTTCATCTAGCTGCAACGAGAGGTGTATGAGCCCATCACATGATATATAATATTAGATCACTGACGTGCAGATCGTTGTAGAATTACATTAATCATTACATACGATAAATCTTTCTGAAAATACGGGCCGCGTTCACTCTAGCAAATGACAACAAATACTAACGTCTTTACGAAATATCCAAAATTCTCATCATCACCGAAAGTATTCTCTCGCTTCAATAAACTCCTAATTGGCAGAAAGGTTAAACGACGCTACACCCTATTGGCTCAAGAAATACCAGACACCCCACTTATAGTTTAATTTTTTTGTAAAAAACTTTTCAATACGCGTATAAATCCAAATTATTCTTAAAATAGAAACCTTGAGTATGTAGAAATTGTTTTGATTACCAGCAGGAAACAACGTGTCGTCATATGCACAAAAGATTCGTAACATAATTATCACAATAAGTTTCATCATAACAGCTGTTAACACCTAGAAATCTCACTTCAGTACGACACGTGCACATTTGCATTGCGATCCCTCACGGTCGTACCCAACAAAAGATTTTGTAAGCACCATACCTTTTCCCTTTTGCATAAAAATTGCACGTTACCAAAAAAAAAAAAAACAAACACAGGCAAATACTCAAAAAAAAAGTTTATTCTCCAAGAAAAAAAAAAAAAAAAACACACAACTAAGTAAAGCTAACGTTTATGGTTTATTTTGTTTCTTTTGCTGCCCGTCACCCGAGGAGGTCGATGGCCGGGACGCCTCTGAAACAAACAGAAAAATAATCAGTTCGCAAATTGATTAAGTAATCAATTAAGGTATATAACTGAGAATAAATCACGACAAACTTCAAAATTTTTCCAGACCATAATTATTTACATTGGCGTAGAAAACAGTTATCTATTAAAACTCCCACTTAAGTTGCAAAGGTTCCATCACACAAAAAAAAAATCTGTACGCTTTCCCGAGTAAAAAACGATGATTGTAAAAGAATCACGCTTACAGAACAATAAAAATAAAAACAAAATTTATTATCCAACAGCTCATAACTCTTATGTATAAAATTTTGTTAAAAATATTTTTTCCAAATTCTACTAATTAAAATGCTCATTTTGTATATTAAATCTCGCTATTAAAACAATAGTTTAATCGAAAGGATGAATAAAATGTTTATAGCAACACTTTATTCACACTGCTATTGGCAATACGAATAAAGTAAAAAAACTAAAAATTCGCACTACCACTGAAATTTTCGTTGCTTTGGATGTGTGGATATGATACACGTGAAAAAACGAATTTTATCCACTCAAAAACATTATCACACTCAGCTTCGCATCGTGTGCTAAACTGTTTTTTCGTTGGATAAAATTCACTTTTATTCACTTATACCATAAATAGCCATTATCCAACCCAAAAAATGTAAAAAAAAAAATGCTAAAAGTTTTAACCGCCCTTCAAAGTAAAAAGAATGACGTGCTTTAATGAAACTGCATAATTGAACCTGAATATAGCAAAAGAACTAACAACTACGAATTAAACAAATTAGTGTTAGAACCGAAACGTATTTAACAAAACCGTACTCACAAAAAGAAAATACTTACGAAGTGCCGCAGATCGCCTGCGACCGCCGCGAACGCGATGCCCTCGTGAAAAATGGAGCCGCAGCGTCTCACGGTAGAGCTCATTCAAGGGAGAAGGTGCCTTCGGCCTCTACATACTCTTCTTCTGAGGAGACCCCGAAGGAGAGCTCGATCTCGATCTCGATCTCGTCACACCCTATAATTAAAATACAAAACATCATTAATCATCAGCTAACAACCTTAGAGGACTGAGATGAAAATGACAAAAATTTATAAAGAGAAAATCATAAAAGTTTACAAACCCTAATCTCGCAGGAGCCGCAGCCGCTCCTCCTCGTATAAAAAGAAAATCCTTACGAGGTGACGAAAAGTGGAGCCGCCGCGCCTCGCGATATAGGTCCTGTATCCGCTCAGGAGAAAAGGTGCCCTGGGGCACCCCATCTTCATCTTTTGAGGAGGCCCCAAAAAAGAAATCGATTTCCACATCGTCGGATCCTATAATCATAATACAAAACATCATTAGTCGTCGGCTAACAACCTTAAAGAACTGGGGGTGGATTCTCGAACTCGTTCGAATAAGTTCCGCATACGCAAGTGGCCAACTTCCGAACGGTTTTGAATTTGGAGGCAACAGATTAAAACAGTCGTTCTTGGATTCAAACCGACACCGCGTGAGTTCTGCCAACCATTGCATTTCCTCTGTATTTTGCCGCTGTTGCCATATCCTCACTCGAACAGAGGCCTTCGTATGCGCATCGAGTTGCTATTCGCATTGAATCTCGTTCAAGAAGACGGATTTTCGTTTCGAATAGTATCTTGGCATGCGCATCTATTCGTACTCGAATCTTTGCGAACGAGTTCGAGAATCGACCCCCTGAAATGAAAATTACAAAAATTTATAAAGAGAAAATTATAAAAAGTTACAAACCCTAGATTACAATACTACTTTTGATTACGCTCGGGAAGTAAAAATTGGGCCAAAAAGGAAGGTAAAAATTTTGACAAAAGAGTGTAACACAAAAAAAAAATCTAAGAGTTAATATAAGCAACATATTCTAAAAATTTTTGGTAGGTATGAACTGGTTTTCAATTTTTCTTCTCAATTTGCATTTTACTCCCCTTGAACTAGATAAATGATTAATTTTTTAGAACTTAGTTTTTCCGGAAATATTAACCGCAATATGATTTGGCATAAATAAATTGGTTTTAGATTTAAAATGTTGTGAAAATTCCGACCCTCCATAAAATAAAATAATAAAAGCGCCTTGATCTTACACAATTATTCGCAAAGTGAAAGCAAAAGTTACAAGCATAGGTACCAAAAGGATAATTGAATAAATGTGTAAATGGAGAACGGCAAAATAAAACATGAGAATAAATTTACATAACTAAAAACATGCAAAACTATATTTAAAGTGCTACGCAATTGTATTCCATTAATAAAAACCTTAAAATCTATGAACATAATCCACGACTAAGTAAATTTAATCCTAAAATTATCATGCAATAAAACTTGAAATTAATTCGGTAAATCCCTAATTATGTGCGATACCTTCTAAATAATATTAATATTATGGGCGTGATAAATAAACTTCGAAAACTGTTAACCATGAATTCGAGTATTTACTTAAGTATTTAATAAACTGCGATTGGGCATTTATCCGCTAATTAAAAATTTTTAAAACAGCTAAAACAATTAAAAAACTAATAATTCAGTGGAATTCGGAGAAATTTCCCACCGACAATAAGAAGAACAACTAAAATTAACGAACTAACATCATGCGCTTACGAGGACTGTTTGATAAGTACCCGTATTAAGAAAGAGAAAGCATTTTTTTTAATTTTGTGTATTTCTCATTATAATCTCCTTTCAACTCTATGTACCTCGTCCAGCGATATTCTAACTTTTTTAACCCATTCAAAAAATATGATTTACCAAACTCTGCAAAATAAGCCTCTGTTTCATTGATTACTTCGCCGTTTGAAGTAAACCGCCTTCCTCCAAGCCATTTTTTAGATTTGGACATAAAAGTCACAGGGTGCTAAATCTGGCGAATAAGGAGGATGCGGCAGTAATTCATAGCGTAATTCGACCAGTGCGTTATCATGGTGAAACAGGACTTTTTTTTCGACAAATGGGGCCGTTTTATCTTTAATTCCAAATAGTCTATGAAAATGATGCCATGCGAATCCCAAAAAAGAGTAGCCATAACTTTTCCGGCCGAAGGAACCGTTTTCGCCTTCTTTGGAGCACGTTCGCCGGGTAGAGTCCTTTGCTTTGGTCTCTGGAGTGTAGTGGTGTATCCTCAAAAACATTATCACACTCAGCTGCTTCGCCTCGTGTGCTAAACTGTTTTTTCGTTGGATAAAATTCACTTTTATTCACTTATACCATAAATAGCCATTATCCGACCCAAAAAATGTAAAAAAAAATGCTAAAAGTTTTAACCGCCCTTCAAAGTAAAAAGAATGACTGACGTGCTTTAATGAAATTGCATAATTGAACCTGAATATAGCAAAAGAACTACTAACTACGAATTAAACAAATTAGTGTTAGAACCGAAACGTATTTAACAAAACCGTACTCGCAAAAAGAAAATACTTACGAAGTGCCGCAGATCGCCTGCGACCGCCGCGATCGCGATGCCCTCGTGAAAAATGGAGCCGCCGCGTCTCACGGTAGAGCTCATTCAAGGGAGAAAGTGCCTTCGGCCTCTACATACTCTTCTTCTGAGGAGACCCCGAAGGAGAGCTCGATCTCGATCTCGTCACACCTTATAATTAAAATACAAAACATCATTAATCGTCAGTTAACAACCTTAGAGAACTGAGATGAAAATGACAAAAATTTATAAAGAGAAAATCATAAAAATTTACAAACCCTAATCTCGCAGGAGCCGCAGCCGCTCCTCCTCGTATAAAAAGAAAATCCTTACGAGGTGACGAAAAGTGGAGCCGCCGCGCCTCGCGATATAGGTCCTGTATCCGCTCAGGAGAAAAGGTGCCCTGGGGCACCCCGTCTTCATCTTCTGAGCAGGCCCCAAAAAAAAAATCTATTTCCACATCGTCAAATCCTATAATCATAATACAAAACATCATTAGTCGTCGGCTAACAACCTTAAAGAACTGGGGGTGGATTCTCGAACTCGTTCGAATAAGTTCCGCATACGCAAGTGGCCAACTTCCGAACGGTTTTGAATTTGGAGGCAACAGATTAAAACAGTCGTTCTTGGATTCAAACCGACACCGCGTGAGTTCTGCCAACCATTGCATTTCCTCTGTATTTTGCCGCTGTTGCCATATCCGCACTCGAACAGAATCTCGTTCAAGAAGACGGATTTTCGTTTCGAATAGCATCTTGGCATGCGCATCTCTTCGTACTCGCATCTTTGCGAACGAGCTCGAGAATCGACCCCCTGAATTGAAAATTACAAAAATTTATAAAGAGAAAATTATAAAAAGTCACAAACCCTCGATTACAATACTTCTTTTGCTTATAGTATAGGAGCTAGCAACGTTTTCGAGAAAGAATTTCAGGTCAGCTGATTCTTTGATATTTTGTTATCCTTCCTCTATCGGGTAGACCCTAGCCCATCTGGCTGGCCGTGGCGGTTGCGTTTATTAGTGCGCATCCTACCTGTACAGGTAAAAATCCCAGATTTCGAAAGCATTTTAAGAAGTTTAATTTTTAATTTCTTGTTTTCAGATAGGTTTATTAAACACAATTATTTTATTGCCAGACACTTCGTTGCAAACTACATGCCATACGCAATTTTTTTTTTTTTTTTTATAAAATTTTCAAACCATTTTAGTATGTCTGTCATTTTAATATTATGTTCCTTTAGTACTCAAAAACCTAAAATTAATTTGCCAGACATTAATTCGATTGCTAAACCTTGAAAAAGAACGACATTAGTATCGTTGATGGTTTTTTCATCTTGCACACCATGAAAGATGTACCACAAATCTTCGATGCTATCTCTAAAAAGTTTCTTTCTTCGATCTCCCAGATGAAATCTGATCGTATTGATGTGATTTTTGACCAGTACTTTTCAACTTCAATTAAAGATTTTGAACGTTCACGGCGAGAAGAGTCAACTACCCCTGTATCAATTGGTCCTAATCAAATTCGGCCACACAATTTCTCAGTAGAACTGAAGAACATCGAATTTAAAATAGCTCTAGTTAACTTTTTTATTGATCACTGGGATAGTGAAGACAACCTTAAAATCTATTAACATAATCCACGACTAATTAAATTTAATCCTAAAATTATCATGCAATAAAACTTGAAATTAATTCGGTAAATCCCTAATTATGTGCGATACCTCCTAAATAATATTAATATTATGGGCGTGATATATAAACTTCGAGAACTGCTAACCATGAATTCGAGTATTTACTTAAGTATTTAATAAACTGCGATTGGGCCTTTATCCGCTAATTAAAAATTATTAAAACAGCTAAAACAATTAAAAAACTAATAATTCAGTGGAATTCGGAGGAATTTCCCACCGATAAGAAGGAAAACAACTAAAATTAACGAACTAACATCATCCGCTTACGAGCTACGCTAGCTTGTGAATTTAAACAGGTAAAGAGAGATAAATGAATTTTACTTTCTTTAATTAACCTCTTAAGGTCCTGTGTTCCGAATCAGGAACATACCTAACTCAGACCAAAAACAATTAGAAAAGAGCAATCATTCCGCCAGTTCTTTAACTGACCGTTGTTCCTAATATATACCAATGAATAAACATTGATAAGTAACAGCAAACGCCATCTAGAGTGAAACTAGAATAAGTTCAGTCATACCTTTGCAGACGGAGCACGTTGTGTGGTGTTGAGTTATTTGTGATCGTAATTTTTTAATTTTTGGGTAAGTACCGATCAAACTAAAATTATTTAGGCTATTGTTAGACTTTAGAAGATATGCCTGTACCTTCCTAGTTATTGTAAATATACAATTAGTCTGTAGGAGCCCAAAATTCTGTTAGTTCCTCATATGGAACATTGGTCATTTAGATGAAAATTAGATTGTTCCTGAAATGGAACAGTGGACTTTTGGTACATATGAACTAATAGCAATATTGTTGGGTTTTTACAGTAAAAATGGCCTACATACCAAGCGATAGTGAGGACGATAATCTTGGAGACTCAGATGATGAGTTTGTTGTACAAAATTCAAGGGATTCCTCTTCTTCTGACAGTGACGATTCAATTAGTAGTTCCGAATCAGATGAAGATAATCAACCTGTAGATCATGTGGCTACAGCTACGAATGTAAGAGGAAAACCCACATACAAGTGGACTAAACTCAATAATAATGATGAAGAATTGCCATTGCCACCTTTCGTTGCGGAGGAAACCGAGGAGTCCGAAATTGGACGCCCAATTCATTATTATCAGCAATTTTTTTCGAACGAATTGCTTTATCTCATAGTGGAACAAAGCAATTTATATGCTATTCAAAATGACGTAAACAAGCCCCTGAATCTAACACGTTCTGAATTAGAAATTTTTATTGGAACTGTTATATACATGTCAATTTTCCATTTACCGCGACATAGACTTTACTGGAAGTCAGCTTGCAGAGTAGCCCAAGTTGCTGACTGTATGTCCAGAAAGAGATGGGAAGATATAAAAAAGAATTTACATTTCAACAACAACGATGACCTTCCCACGGATAGAAATGATCCAAACCGTGATAAGCTATTCAAGCTTAGACCCATAATAGATGCATTGACAGAAAAATTTAAAAATCAAGTCAAACCACAGATGCTTTGCGTAGATGAACAAATAGTGCCGTACAAAGGAAGATCTGCACTAAAGCAGTATAATCCCAAAAAACCCAACAAATGGGGTTACAAAATATTCGTATTGTGCGATAGCAGTGGTTTGGTTCACAATTTTGAAATTTACACAGGAAAAATATTGCCAACACCGGGAAAGGAGGATATAGGAGCTAGTGGAAATATTGTACTACGCTTGGCATCTGTGATACCACAACACAAAAATTATTTACTCTTCTTCGACAATTGGTTTACCTCTGTAAAGCTGCTTACCTCTCTTCAAGAAGATGGGATTTATAGTTTGGGGACCGTAAGATGCAACAGACTTCCTGGTTTACAATTCAGCAGCGACAACGTTTTGAAAAAAAAAGGTAGAGGCACTTATGAGGAATATAAGACAACAGTCAACAGTGTTGATATTCATACTCTGAAATGGTTCGACAACAAGAGCGTTTGTCTCCTTAGTACATTTTGCGGAAGCCAGCCTGTCGATATTGTTGAACGCTTTGACAGAAAAGGCAAAAGAAGAGTTGAGGTGACCCGTCCCAATATGATAAAGCTATATAATAACTTTATGGGTGGGGTTGACCTTCTTGATGGACTCATATCCTACTACAGGATAAGCCTAAGAAGTCGAAAATGGTATCTCAAACTGTTTTTTCATTTAATCGACTTGGCTCTAGTTAGCGCATGGTTAAAATACAAGACTGATATGCAGAAGAGTAACATGGACAAAAAAGATATTCTAGATTCTTTGGGATTTCGTGCTGAAGTAGCCGAAGCTCTTTGCCGAGTGGGAAAGGATGAAAATACAAGAAAAAGAGGAAGACCAAGCGGAAGTACTGAAAAGAATTATGAAGAGAAAAAGAGAAGGGGAGCAACAAAACCTATACCTCAGTTTGACGTGCGTACAGACAAGGTGGCCCACTTTCCTTCTTATAACAAAGAAAGGCAACGGTGCAAGAGACCATTGTGTGGACTAAAAACTTATTTCTATTGTGTAAAGTGTAAGGTACATCTATGTATTACTAAGACTAGAAACTGCTTCGCTGAATTTCATATTTGATTGCATAATTATGTCTATATGACCAGTGTTCCTGCAAAGGAACATATTGTTTTGTTGTTTTCTAAAGCAGAAAATAAATATTTTGAAAACTACAATTTGTTTACTAACTGCCTCTGGCCACTTTTTTCATGGAATGAATTTTTTAAATAAGATTCTAGTATAAGTGGACCTTAAGAGGTTAACTAAGTACGCCGAGCGCGACACTTGTTCACGAAAAAACTGGCGCTTACGGAACAGTTAAATACATGCAAAAGTGAATAGTCACAGTCTTTATGCAGAGCTAAACGTTGGGAAATTAGTACCATAATTGCGCTAAAATACAGTGAGATTATTAAATTAAAATGAAATGCAAGGTTTCCAAATATTATGGCGAAATAATCAGAACTCATATCTAAACGGCAATAAATTCAAAATAAAAATTATCGACTGCAAGGAAATCAAATTAAAATGGTTTCAATTCGGAAACTTCCCAAAAGCTCATTTAAAATATCCGTGGCGCAAACGAAGGGGTTAAATCCACAAATTAAGGAAACATTGGAATAATTATTATCATAAAAGCGATCGGTAATTTATCGAAAAATCCTACCCGACGACCAAGAACCCACGCAAGGACAAACGTGCCACCCGCAAACGAGAACATCTGGTAACACTTCCTTTCGCCCCCGGCGCTATCTGTTCACACTAAACATATCGAAGATCCCCCGACTAAAACGCATAAATTAAACGCTTCATATGTACGACCGAACTCGAGAACACATTGAGTACGTTTACAGCGAGCGCTTAGTCCGCAACCTAAACACTAAATTCGACCTAAGTGAGTTTAGTCCTCATGCTGTTAATGAAGACCAATTAGTCGACTAATGGATAGGTCGGTCCAGCACTGCCGCAATTTTATTTAACAATTTCAGAAATTATATCTAGACTAAGTGCGCCATATATGGCAGGAAAACTTCTTGGTCCGAAAAATATAAAAATTTTTATGAAATCGCCAGTGGTCCTGAAAAAGAAATGTTAACAGTCTTTCTTATGCAACTATTCGGCCTATTCGTTTAGTGAAACCTGACTTCAGCGGGTCACTATATTTTAATTATAAACATTTTTGTTCTATCATTCTGCTGGCAGTGGCAGATTCAAATAATTGTTTTCGCTTTATTGATATCGAAGCATATGGCAAAGAGTGATTCCGCTGTTTTTAAAGAAACAGTGCTGTGGAAATCTGTTTCTGATAATTCATTACTTACCAGGTCCAAAACAGGGCCGGCGCTACCGACGGTGCAACACGTGCAATTGCACGGGGCGGCGGATTTTTAAACTGCTGCGAAATTCGATAATAAAAACTTATTTTTAAAATCACTGAAATCAAACTCAAACAAGAATAAAAATTATAATGCTTATGTGGGAAACATTTCAGCCGTATCACTCCTTCACTAAAATAGACTCATATTTCAGTCGCCAGACCAATACTTAAAACAATTAAGCGTGACGCTTTCCTAAACAACCGTATATGGTTAATAAACGTGTTTCAAAGTACTTAAATTTATTTATTTTTGTAAGATGATTCGATTCTTGAAGAAAAATTTCAATTAAAGCTCAGTTTTGTATTGACTTTCGGGCGTGTTGTGCCTTCGTTCTGTATTTTTCGATTTCGCTTCCAACTTTTCGTTGAAAAATGTCTGAAAAAAGGCATCGTCTTTCGGGTGCTGAGTACCGTAAAAGGAAACTCGCTCGAGAAACCAAGTTAAAAAAACAAAGTGGTTCTCTTGAAAAATATCTTAAAAC